GAGAGAGAGAGAGAGAGAGAGAGAGAGAGAGAGAGAGAGAAAAGCCTCCCACATGGCAAAGTTACATAAGAACAACAGAAAGAAAATCGAACAGTAAGTTCAGGGACAGTGAATTTATTATGCTGTTGGATTCTGCTTACACAGGGAGCGAACTTAGAGTGAACTTAATTTAAATGTGTGTTCCAATGACACATTGGTATTGTTTTAAATTGCAGAATCAACTTGCTGGTAGTCTAACAGAGCTGCTAAGAGCAAACACAGTATCATCTTGCAAGCTGATGAAGCATGAAACTAAAAGTTAGAGTCTTGTGCTTTCTCATTAAATGTATACACAATGTTTACAAAATAAGACATAATAATTAAGAAAGCATTTATGATATGCTGCAGGGTTTGATCCCATTATCTACCCAGGCTATAATTATGGAGATATGCACTGTTTGTCTCGGGGGTTTGCAGGCTAGAAATTGCACAAAATCCGTCTTTCAGTGCTTTTGTATTTAAATTTCACCCAGAAAATTGCTCAGCTTGAGCTAGAAGACCAGATTTTCTCAGGATCTTTGGCATGTGTGGAGAATAAATGGTTCGCTTCACCTCCACTTCCACATTAGCCAGTTCCCTGGAGTCACAATAAAGCTGAAGATGACAAATTGCTCTGTTCCACCCCATTACAGTGCAAATCACGATACAAACATTTTCAGGCTGCTCTCCACGGAGACAAAGAGAAAAGAGAACCCGGTGCAACAACGAGTGAAGTTAATCCTCTGCGTCTTGTCCAGCTAACACAGAAGTGGAAGATTTGTACTAAGTGACCTCCTACGACACCGAACTACAGGATATGGCCCTACAGTTGGATTTCGCCACCATGCTATGGTATACATTAACAGCATTACAAGACAAAGAGAAAGAGAAAACAAAGGGATAACTAGACTCATTTCTACAACTACAATAGGATTGACAGCATGGATTCAAAGGGTTCAACAAAACTGAAAGAAAAGATAGAGCAGAGCAGAAGGTGAGCACCCATGAAAGGAGGCATGTTGAGGATGGAGAAGGTAGGAGGAGTCAAAAGTCACGACAGAAAGAGGTCAGTGATCAGAGGTTTGGTCAACCCACCATTAATTAGGCTGGCACTGCCAGGGGCATTAATGCCTGCAGCCCCATCCGTGGCTATAGTTGCGATGGGGTGGATAGGGGGATGGGAGCAGTCTAGCCAGTAACAGAGACACACGCGCCCACACACACAAACACACGCATGTGCACACACAAGACAATGAACAGAAATAACATGGTTATAGCACAGTTAAGAGTTTCAGCATATGTAGACTGTATTTGAATACTAATGTGTTGTGATCAGTGTGGTTAAAACATTTGTCATGTTATTCACGTAATCATATGTATGTTTTATAATTTAATAAATGTTATGTCAATAAAATAAATGGGTGTAGCATTGGACAGACATGATGAAATCTGAACATAACCTAAATGAAAAAAATATATATATAAAATGTGAAACCAAAGCTACAAAAAAAGATAAATATAAATAAACATTTGCTTCAATATACTGAATGTACTGCCTGTAATAGCATGTATAGTAAACACTGGTGTAATTCTACATTCATTGTCATTTTTGTTTTTGTTTATTTGTTGCAATGTAAAGTTCAATTAAACCATGTTATTCATGTAATATCTGTCAGCATCACAAAATCAAAACTTGAGCAGAAAATCTGAAACAAATAAGCTAAAAAAAAGTGATGCATAGCCAATCTGAAAATTAACTCCAAATAAAAATCCACAGATTAAATGGGCTAATTTATCAGCCAGGGAAATACACATGTGCCAACCAGTTAACTGACGGGGCTAATGAAATGTCCTCGTGTAAATATGAGAAGGTGCCGAATATTTGTTTTAGCAATCCCCTGTGTTAGAGTTTTCATTTTTTAAAACCTGGAATAGATCTCACAAGGTTATGTTAATGTCTTTCGACAGCAGTCACATAAACTCTGATGACTGGAAAGGGAAATCCAATTGAAGGTCAATAATTGTTTCCCTGTGTCCTTATGGTTTCTGTGTCTAGAGTTCATTGTTAACGACAACACAATGACTTCAAATCAAAAATCTATACTTCATTTATTATCAAATTAAAAAGCAGTTGGTTTCTTTAAAGACACAGCATCTCGTTTATTTTAGTTCAAATTATATTTAAAAAAGAGTGTCAGCTGCCAAAAGTAATCAAGTTGTAATTATGTAGTCTTAATACAACTTTAAATTAAGTTTTTAAAGTTTTATAAATTAGGCCAGACCATAATTTAAGTATTAAGTGCAAAATGTACGGTAGGACTTTTTTGGACAATTTAAAGGAACTCTAGCAGGGAAACTTTGAAAATACTAATTTGATAAATTCTGCAACTTTAAATCAAAGATCGAAGAAGATCAATGATTTATTAAAATAAAAGACTTTTCATTGAATGACAGTTGAAATCTGAATAAATTTGAAAAGATTAATGACTGCTTCCCTGAGCGCAGATCGAGTGATTCACTGTAAACTCGGGGTATTTTTTCTGGTTTGATCCATCCAATCAGATGGATTAAACTTGGGAAAATAATGCACATGTTGTCGATGCGCTACAAATACAGGTAAAAAGAAAAAACATGCATAGTATTTGTTAGTGTTCAGATCGGAGGAAGAAAGTTTATCCACAAGGGAACACATGTTTTACTGTTACCTTGTTTAATGTAAGAATTAAAGCACAATGTAAGCACTGAAGCAAAATGCTTCAAAAACTATAGTGTGCTATGCATGCACGATACTGAGGTATGCTCATTGAAACTACAGCGCTGACCGAAGAGGCACTGGTAACAAATATGTATTATTAAATATGTAAGATGTCAACAAAAGCTTATACTGTCTACTTTACTCTCTACTGCTGGTACATATGCTGTACACCTGCAATGCCGTCACTCTCATGTCATTGCTCTGTAACACAGAAATGAGACGAGTCTGACAGCCTTTGTTTACTTGTGGCATTCAGTACGTCTTTGAAACAGGACTGATGTTGAATGCTAGCTAGTTAGTTCGATGAGTGCAGAGCCTGTTATATGGTAAGAGGATTATGCATTGTGAAATGTGTCATCTGTCAACACTTAAAGGGATGCAGTGTTGTGAGGATGAGGCTTCTCCTTTCAAGTGAGGAATTAAACTGGGGGAAGGGTGCTCGGCTACGGGAGAGGGGTGTAGAGTAGCGGTGGTATATTGGTGGTCATTAGGGGTTAAAGGTCAAAAAGGATCAAGTACCACTCCCAGGGGTCAGAGAAAGGTGATACTCTACCTGTATTCTGGTGTCCGTCTGCCACTGCCCCTCCTTCGAAGAGAATTTGGATGGATAGAGAGTAAGGACAATAATGCACTTGAACCCACAGAACCTGGATACTCGGCTCACAAGTGTACCACCAATACTCATTTCATGTAGTATTTATACACATTCAGCAAAGAGGCTTAATGTCTACGAATACCTACAAAAGGTCCATACAGTTCACATAAGTTTAACAGCTGGATATTTGTGAGTTTGTGAGTTTAATGTTTATAACCCTTTTAAAAACACTGATATGATGCAATGAGAGCACACAGTTAGACATAAGGTAACGAAATGACAAAAGCTTTTTCAAGTGTAGGCTGCTGAGCAAAACTGACAAAAAACAAATTACCTCAGTGCTCCTGAAGCAGCTGCAGACAATATAAAGATTATTTCATGATATAATGATCTTTCTTACCTTTCTTCTCTTTCTTCTCCTCTTCCTCTGTGCCGGCCCCCAGCAGGGTGAAGATGATTCCAGTCTGAGAGTTGACACCAACAGCAGTCACCACCATGCGCCCTGACCCCTCCATCACGTGGGTGCCTGGTAAGAACGCAGCAGGGTGTTAAAAGGTATGACATTAGATACATTTTTTGTGTTTGCTAAAAAAAATAGTGATATTCTTTGCATTCCTGCCATGATCGTGCGCATTTCCTCACACTACAGTTAAAAAAAATAGAGATTCAAATTAATGAATTGAGCTGTTTGGTGACCTGTTTCTAAAAACAAAAGTATCTACGCTCATCTTCTCTACGTACAATGGTGAAATTACACCAAATGGCGATTCTTAATTCCCTATTTGGGCTTTTTTTCCTTGAATCGTTTTTGTACAGAATGAAAGTGTAAAAGTATTCACTGGCTAACAGAGTGTTTAAACATCATTACATCCGAAAGGTAGTGCTTTATTCTCATTCACTCTTTTATGGTAAATCCAAGGTGCTGCATTAGAAAGCCAAAAGCAGTAAAAATGTGTCACTGTGCAAATGTGTGCAGACTGCACTACACTTTTGTGCACAGTATACACACGCAGAACATTATTAACCTTTGGGAGGGTAAGTAGATGTGGGTGAATATGAAGCTAGCTAATTAACAGAAGACCGCGAAAAGGCCCACAGCTAATTATCCACACAGGAAGAAAAAATACTAAGATGTGAGATCAGATTAACCCACGTTTCTGTTCTTCAAGATGCACATTCTCGTGTCTCTGCTGTAGCAAACCAATAAAGAGGGAAAGAAAAATAAGTGTTTTCCATGCTGTCACCAGATTCTTCTGCGTTGATATTTAGATTATAATTAACCACCTTTTGTCTCCTGTTCAAGGTAGTAAAACAATGACTATATTTGGTTTTCACAATATATAACAAAAGAGCCAGGCAGCCCAAACATAATCCCAATAAGTAATGGCAGGAGAAACCTCAAAATATAAACAATTTTCTTAGGTTTTATCATTGGCGATAAACATTAGGCTGCCTCTGAAGTAATTGTAAAAAGTCCTTATTATTACACAAACCTTTACTATTTCTGCTTCAGTAATGGATGGAAATAAAAGGTTATGACACTATAGGCTAGTAGGTGTAACAAAGCAACCCACTCTTTTTTTCTCATGTTGAGTTCTGGTACAGGATGAGAAATTTGCACCAGCCCACTGTGTAAAAAAAGCTAAAAAGTAACTGTGGGCTTGTTTGAGAGATTCATTAATTACAAAATGCTCTCGATTTTGTAAATAAATGAATATTCATTTAAGATATATAGAAATGCAAAATGATCAATCCAAGTTGCTAACTTTGAACTTAGCAGTAAGCGAAATAGAGCAGAAGACCATAACATGTGAATTATAGTCCTCAGTCTCAAAGACCCTTTCTCCTTCACAGAACAGCATTGCATGCAGAAGCCATGACTGTGATATGCAGCTCCACTCATCCATTGACTGGTAACATACCAGACAACAGCATGGGGTCCTTGTCTACACACTTCTTGACGTGGTCGGACTCGCCGGTCAGTGATGACTCATCAATCTGCAGGTCGTTGCCCTGGATCAACACTCCATCAGCGGGAAGCAGATCACCTGCAATTACGATGGTAGAGTTGCTATCTGCAGTGGATTTATTTACATTGATATTGCCTTACACAACCAAAAAGTTCCAATAACTCCAAAGATTCATTAGAGTTGGGTTTGAGCTGATATGAGACGGGATAGACTGTGACCACTGTAGTATATTCCTGGTAGAAGATGCCTTTGAGAGAGGAGGTGTGCATCTCTCTGTGTACTGTCTGTCTGTAGCTAATTCATTTCTCCACATTACGATACTGTTGCTTAAAGATATTTAATTGCTTAAGGTGGACTTCATAATTTTAATCCCCCTCTGGAAATGAGGTCAAAGTCTATTTTCAGCCACTAAACCATGAAAATGACTTTCCACAGAACAATGGACGAGTCAACTAAGGAAGTCAGCGGGCACGTCCAACAACATTAAAGTTATCTAAATGTTTTGGAAAGTTCAGTCAATTTTAGTTAACTCAACAATGTTTCAATTAAAGTCATAGTTGAAATAAAAAAAATTGATGATACAAAAGGTTTACAGTAAGGGCAAACTGGTTAGATGTTAAATATGTCAAATAACAATCAACAGTATACGTAGATTATAAACAGATTTAGCATTTAGCATATTTATTGTGTTAGAGCAAAACTCTAACACACAAAGTTGGACAATCTCCTCCCACCTACCGTATTTGATCTGTGCGATATCCCCTACCACTATGTCCGACACTGGCAGCTGTATGACCTGGCTACCACGGACCACCTGGAATTTCTGCTCCTGCTCGATGCGGCTTTGCAGCCCACGGAACTGCTTCTCCTTCGACCAGTCGTTGAAGGCCGTCACCAGCACCACACACACCACAGACAACAGGATAGCTGCGCCCTCGATCCAGCCGGCATCCGCCTCGCCTTCGTCCTCTACCCCACCTCCTGCCGCGCCACAAGCTAGAGTTCGGTAACGGTGACAAGAAAGGAAGAGGAAAGTTGTCGAGATGTCATACATTTGCAAGCACACTGTGTTTTCTTATAGACTTTATGTATTCTGTCGACACACACTTACACACCGGATATCAACTCACAATTTTCATACACAGATATATATGCTTGAATATGTTAAGAATATGAACACTTCGTAGTAACAGATACACAAAGGGATGTAATAACACCTCACACTGGGAGGAGTGCATGCAATTTGTCTGCCTATGTACAACGTATATAATATAAACGACAACTCTAAAAACAAAATAAAATAAAACTGGAAGAACCAAATAATTGTATACTTCATGCCTACTCCTTTTCAGACATGTAATATATATTCATTTAGTTATTTTGAATTTGCTATATATGTTTACTGTTCATTTTATGGTTGTTTTCTTATTATTTGTGACATGTTCAAATAAAAATCTATCTATTCCATCAATCTCTATCTCTCTGTCTAATGCCCTGATGTCCACTGGCTGTGAACTGACAGATCGGGGTGTACTTGGAAATGAAACAAGGCCTATTCACAGTCCTCCTCATGCTGCTTCATGTAATACTCTGGCAGCCATTGTGCCCTACACTTCTGGCTAGCTGACTTCAAAAGCCCCCAGTGGAGTGATTTGATTTGGACTATAAAACAATTGCAGTTCACAAGGGAACTAGAGCAGACCCAAAATTATAGACATTATAAATGCAGGGTCCGATATAACCAAAAACTAGACTCAATTTGAAGCAATTTGGACCTATTGTTCCATTGTTGGTTCCAATCAATAGGATGTTGATGTAGTGGATTTATTGCATACACTCCCAAAACATACCCTCCTTTATGTGTATAACTACCAGTACCAATGCACACATACTGTATGTGCTCATGTATCATGTAGGTTTTGGCAAAAAGAGAGACATATTAAAGATGTATAATAATTATATTTTTATCTAAAAATTCTTAAAATCTAATATAATGTCCTATGTTGTGTTCCCTGTATGTATTTAATTGTTGTTTCTTCAGTCTTCATGTTTTGTCATGGAAAACAAGGGAAAGCTTAGTACTTATAGATCCAGAACGGATCCATCTCCTAAAAGATTGTGCAACAGTATATTTGGACTGGCACGGGTGTGACAAGTGACGCCATTTTACTATCTTCCCAAAAATAGGTCATAAAGCCTCTTACTAAGAGGCAAAGATTTCACGAAGAACAAATGAAAGAACCAAATACGAGTAAATTGGTGCAGTATATATTTCTTAACAATGTAATTGGATGAGTTCAGACTGTCCTGCTTTGTCACTGGAGTGCATTGACAGAAATAAATTGAATGTAGTAGCTGTCCATGGTTCTGATTGCACCGCTCTTGTCTCTTTCATACAAAGACACATGCAGCACATTTGTAGCTGTCCATGGTGCTGATGAAGTACCAAAATCGTGCAATACCCAAACCCAAAGCATAAAATATAACGACTATTATATATACTATATATAATACTATGATTGAGAAGCTTTGATTGAGAGTTATGGGTGAGATGCAAATGAATAATGTAATTTAGTGAGATGTAAATGAATAATGTTAATCAGCTTCAAAGGCACTTTAACAAACCATGTTGGTATATACAGTATGTCTACTAACGGTATTTTCTTACTATTTTTCTGGTTTTAGTTTTGTCATGTGTTTGATACAGACGCAATTAAGAGTCTCCTCATTCAACTGCAGCCAGGCTGTTTCATATGTAAATGAGAATTAAGTCATCCCACCACTTCTATTTCTGGACCGTTGAGCTGTTTTTTTCACCTAATTAATAAACAAAACAGTAAACCAGCAGTGCGTCATGTGTACTTGTGAATACATACATGTTTGTGATATTTGCTTGACATAACTGTCATTTTATGGGTTTCTGATTGATATTTTTATTCTAAGTGTAGTTTAAATTGTTTTTGTTGAATATTTATAATTATAGTCATTATCCTTAATGATTTAATTTCCTGTCAGGTTTACCTTCGAAAGTCCCAAAGACAGTATAGTCAGCTGTAAATATCTTGCCGTACTACACACCTATGTCACAACTCTTTATATCTAAATTTGAGGGATCATTGCCAGAAATGTTTGATTAGGCAATGTAACATATTTGTGTAAAAAAAGAGTTACTAAAAACTCTGCACTTCAAAACGTCCTTACATCCCCTATGGCCTTATGTCCGTCTCTCTTCATTTGGTGTTTTTCTGAATTGGCTGGTTCAAAGTGGTTTGCATTCATATCTTTGAGAACCGCTCTGCTATTCATCGCTCTATCTGTTCATATCCGCAAGAGTTCATGTGCTGATTTAGATTCATATATATTCATATCATTCAAATCTGAGAAGAGACTTGCATATTGGCACCATTTTTGCCGCAAGTTAAAGAGAAGCTTGGTTATGTATCTGCAGATGGACGCAGTTATTAGCATAATGACTCCTCTGGCCATTCTCTGCTTTATTTGGAGAGCTCACGCAATGCAGCTGAAAAGACACAAAAAAAGATGCCGATGAAATAAGATCAATTTACAGTTAAGCAATAATTTTACAACCTCGGTATTTGGCTAACTAACTAAATCATTCATTTACTCACTCATTAAGTCTCTCTTAATCTTAACCAACCAACTGAAAGATTAATTAACTCAGAAATGATTTCACCACAGTCTTACCCATGCAGGTAAGACTGTGGTAACCTCTTCGTCTTTCTCTGGTATTTCTACTTTCATAAGACTTTTTAAAGTGATGACCTCTCCCTTTAGCAGGGTAACTGAATTCCATTACTGTGATAATGCCGGGAGCAATGACTGATGTTGCTGACTCAGCACCTCGTTATGGTCTCTGTCTTCGTCTCCTCTTTCACGGCTCACAGGGCTGATGTATGGGCACTTGGGGCTTAAGGTCGTTTCTCTGCTCAACACTTCATTAACCTTACCAGTACCTTTCATACGCACATTTAACACGTTCATAACGTGCACGCACACACACACACACAAATTACCCCTGTGCTCGATGAGTCGCTTTGTTTGCGACCTGCCTGACCAATTAAAAAGTGTATCCATACAGTACATGTAGGTGTAAGTGTGTCAGCGAGTGCCAGTAATGTCAGAGGAAGTGATGTCAGTGTGCCAATGCAATTATAGCTCTTTGTGGTCCTCTGCAATAGTGGAGATACTTGTGAGATAACTATTGTAGTGTGTGTGTGTGTGTGTGTGTGTGTGTGTGTGTGTGTGTGTGTGTGTGTGTGTGTGTGTCTGTCTCAAGACTTCAAAACAAAGGACAAGAGAGAATTTCAAAGGAAGTGGTGTCACCAGATCTGCTTCACTCACACTCTCCGTTGCTCTCTCCGGGGGGGTGGTAGAAAGAGAGTCCCAGGGAGATCAGGGCAGCGATCTCCAGGATGATGAGGGTGACGTCCTGCAGGGCCTCCCATACCAGCTGCAGGAAGGTTTTTGGCGTCTTTGGAGGTATCAGGTTTTTACCAAATATTTCTTTTCTCTTGTCCAGGTCAGTTTGGGCACCTGGGAAACCTAAAAGTGTAAGACACGGAAAGACAAGGAGACATTTTGAGAAACAGTTACATCACAGTATATTTATCATCAGTCTTTGAAGAGTATTCTTACTGACGTATTGCAGTGAGTTCAATATAGTATATAGGGTTAAAATTACCGCAACAAACAACTATCTGCTATATTTCTACATTTGATCCAAAGAAATCACAATTTTTATCCACACACACAAATGTATTTAAATGCACAGCTAGAAAACTGTGGATGCAAATGCCATCTTTTACAGTTTTAAGACATTTTTTTATTATTTATTATTGTGATCTACAGTCAGCTTTGTAATGGATCATATTTTCCTTACTTTCTTTTTCTTTTTGCTCTTTGTCTTCTCTCTTTTCACTCTTACACTGCACACAAACCATCTCTCTAATTACCAGTTTGAGTCATGGTGGGCCACGGTTCTGCATTCCTTATATAATTCTTGTGCTTTGACCTCATCCACCTCCCCATACACCTTACACTACTGTATATAAATATCTTTGGCTCTTTTATCTGAAGAACTTCATACTGGCTTGAGGGACAATTTACTTTTAGAATACTGTCCAGAGAATTATTCTCACGCAGTAGCTAAAACAATGCGGTGAAAGAGTTTGTTACAACAGATGTAGTGCTTTGGCAAGAGCAACGGTTGAACTTCGTAATCCAAAAAGCATTAACATAAATGAGTAGCCTTTTGTGTGCAATTGTTCTTTTTTTCTATTTAAAAAAAAGATGCATTATTAGTTTGGTATAGTTTTCCATGTGGATGTTTTAGAATCATATAACAATATTATATTATAACAATAATGTGTCATGCAGGAGGGGATTATATCTATCCCCTCCTGCATCGTGGGGGGCTCAGGAAGCAGCCAGCGCCTTGTGAGCGCTTTTCTACAAGCTGTCATTAAAATGCCAAACATGTATTCATCTGGACGCCCTGCTTGAAAATCAAATTTTCCTAAGAATAAAGTGGAAAATTGCAGGGGCAGGTCAGTGTTAAGTATGGCTTTTAATGTTGATTTGATGTATTTTATCTGCATTGCAATGTCACGTAATGGGTCTTAAAATAGAGTATAACCTGCCCAAACTATACTGCACTTTATATTAATAAATGTTAATATATTAAATCATATTTATCACAGCTACAGTATGAATCTGCATCAGTTGTGTGTAAGAAACTACTGTGAACTTTAATTGATATCTACATCAAACCTTCACAAAGCTTTATAATTAGCATCAAGTGTACTATACCAGGCAAATGTATGCTCTGTATCTTCAGCTAAAATGATTCATCAAGGATTTCTATTAAGCTACATTATAGGTTTCTATCTGGCTGCCTTTCAGTGTAGCACCATTATCTGGTTGCTGAGCGCACACACAGTGTGTATTCACTGTCTCTGTGTCTCTCTCCCTCACAACCAAAGACATTACCACAGCATTATGTCATGCTTGGTGCGTCACTGGGTCTCCCAGGAGTGGCCCTGGATTGCATCTGATACTATCTCTGCTGCATGACACTGTTTCACATGTGAATGCAGGCGACCATGGAATGAGTTATTAACACCTGTGGTGAATAGCTGATGATCCATTTGCATCCGATGTCGGAGAAAGAGGAAAAAAGAAAAACAAACGGCAAAGTTGTCGTGTGAAAAAGTAAATGTTTAGATACTGCAAAAAATAAATTAGAGAAATTGGAGAAACTAGATCCATTTAGCTCCTTTAAAAAAAGAAAGGTGGAACAACAGGGAAGGAGAAGGAGAGGACAGAAGGAGGGCAAGCTGAAAAGAGAACAATTCCCAGCTCCTACATATAGGAGAATGCCCTGGTTAGAAATAGATCAGTCTATAAATAGCCTCATTATCCATTCTCTTTTAATTGTCTCTCTGAGAGGACCTAGCATGCTCTCCCATTGATCTCCACAGCACCCTGCCTCACATCACACAAACATGTGTGTCCATGCATGTGTGTGTGTGTGCGTTTGTGTGTGGGTCTGTGAGTCGTGACTGCCTGCACGTGCTTTGGGTGTGTGTAAGAAGGCTGGCTTAGCATGCCGGCACTATCGCACAGTAAAACTAGAGCTCATATATAATCAGGCTTTAGCCGGTTCCAGTTGGTTGGATACACAGACACACAAATATGCACGCCCAAGCACAGATGCACATATCTTTACTATCCACATTGTGTGGAACCCCCCTTTATCTTTGTTGGTCAGGTGCACATCAAACGTGACATTCAGTCATATTTCTACCCAATACCGCAATCACAGAATTTAAAAAAACAAAAAATACATATGCGTATCCTCCTGCACTATATTTCTAGAATCTGTCCAGAGGCAGGGAAGTTAGTTATAGCATGTAAATGCACCATTCTGCATAAAAGCAGCAATCATTTAATAAAATACAACAACATGCATACTCTCAGCTATTTCTGTCATGTGATGGGTACCTCTAGTGTATGTATGAGATTATTCATTGGTTGAGCATGACAGCAAACCTTGTTAAATGTTTCAACTCCTTTTAAACGCCCTTGAGATGTGAGCTATGCTGTAATCAATCTCTTGAATCATTAAAAACTCATTGCTTCCTGGAAAACCCTCTGCTACATTATCATTCCTTCCTGGATAGCGGATTGCAATGCTGCTTAAGATTCATTTGCCAGATTATAAAATATTGTCGGCTAAATACTGTCAGCCCACCTAACTGCTCTGGCAGTGGATTTTGAGGAGGCAGTGAGAGGGCAGAAAAACTGTAGCGATGCACAGATGAGTCACAACAATCTCACAGAGGATTAAGGGTGATTGCAAAGGAGTCTTACAGTCCATCACCAAGTGAAGCCTGAACAGACTATATACCAAATGTACAGATGGGAGTAAGGGATAACGGACTCCTGGTGCTGTCTAATGGCTGGCTAATTTATTTATCAAAGCTCCTCGTGATTGTTCTAATCGAGATTCAAACGATGAAAGCTTTTTGGAAAGGAAATTTGAGTCCACCTTATGACAATGGGATGAGAGATGATGCACTATAGACTATAGACGTTAGATTGACTTCCATTTTAGATCGGCAGCTTACGGATTTAAGACAAACTGTGGGCATGCTGGAGACACAGCAGATTAAGTAAAAGCCATTTAGTGTACCAGAAATGCAAACTGCAGTATAATCTTATTTATGAATTTGGTTGCGTGTCATCAAATCACTCAGTATCAGTCACCGTGCACTGAATACCAGCTAATTAAGCAGGCATGCTTAATAATAAACCACATGTGGCTATACTTGGCTGTGGTCATTAGATGGCTACAGTTAGAATTTTCAATGCCAATAAGAAAACTTGTGATCATGGTATTCATCATGAAAAGGACTGTGCCTCAAATAATCAGTATGGGCTTCTTTGGAGGTCTGGGTTCAGGGCCAAAAAAAAGTCTGTGAGTCTGTAATGACTAATTAGCCTCTCTACTCTTAGATCATTTTAGAAATCTGACCATGACGTTTTGCATATGGACAACACTAATGTAATGAAAATAAGACTTGAGCTTAAACTTAGGACTATTTTCTCCACTTTTCTTATTCATCATATATTGTGTAGTCTATAAGAAGTTTTAAAAAAGGGTTTGTTTTGTGGGTTCAGCAATCCAAAAACCTAAAGATAATTAGGTAAAATATGACGCTATAAACAGAGAAAAGCAGTAAATGTTTACCTTGAGAAGTTAGAACCAGCAAATATTTGGGATTTATTTCTTACTATATGACTGAACTGATTATCATAACTGCTGTCAATTAACTTCCTTTCAACTGACAAATAGTTCGATTAGATTACAGAATTATTGTTATTTACAACCACAATTTACGGTCTTTAAATCTTGATGAGGATGAAACCTTGAACTTCTCTCCTCTTCTTCACTGTTCTTACTCCATAATGTATGGCTGGTAATGCGCTGATCCCTCAAACACAGCAGGCTCTGAGATTCAAATCTGCTTTGACAAATGATACCTTCCTAACAATAGACAAGACCGGGACATTAACAAAAAGAAGGACAAAATATATATACCATTATATCTGCAGGGGAGGAAATGGGATTTTTCATTTCAGTCAGAGTGAACATGATGGCATATTTTAACAGTTGGCCCTTTTTTTTTGTCAGTGGCTGAAAATAGATCTCCATGGAAACACTATGCATCCCACTCGATGAGTGGAAATACCCGCGACTCTGAACCTTGGAGAAATTGTGAATATGTAAGAAAGTGTGTGTGTGTGTGTGTGTTCAAGAGCATGCATGCACGTGTATGTGTGTGCACAGGTGCGTGTGTTTTTTCAAAGAAAAGACTAACGAATGAAATGAAGTGATGACCTCCAAATGTCCTCGTAACATGTGAACGTCTCAGTGGAGCAGCACATGACATAGATATAAATATAAAATCTAAATCTTGAGAATAATGGCGTGAACAACAATGTCTGAGCAGAATCTGTCGTCATGATGATGAACGTCATCATCATGACACAAAAACACGGTGCTGTTTTTCTGCAGCGAAGAGATGGCTTCAACATGTGTTCTCAGATTTCACCATTTTAAAAAGAGAGAGGGGGAATGAAGAGGGAAGAGAGCGGTTGAAGTATGACTCAGAGAGGACAAGAGAGTGAGAAAGAGAGAGAATAAGAGGAGGCTGGATGTAGAGTAACCCTATGAATAATAACCCATCAGCTGCTAAAAGGTGGATCATTATCGTGCTCTTATTAGAAGATGGAGTGATGGAGAAATGTGTCAGTGTCCTTGAAAATGACCTCCATAATAATAATACAATTGTATGCTGTACAGAAAGGTTTGTTACAATGCATACAAAGGCATGATATAGTAGAAATAGCTTCTTAAGGATGACATTAAACAAATAATGCAGTATGCTATGTGTAAATGATATAGATAGAAGGAGGGAGATGGAAGAAGAGTGTAAAAATATTCAAACAGTAATAAGAAAATGCATGAAAAGAAAAGA